AAAACTTTTAGAGGGAGAATTTTGTTTTGTTGCTTGCTAATCCAGTACGCTATCTGTACTATGGCTTCAATTTTAGATCAAACGAAAACTGGTCTTCACCGAAATTGCTGCAAAGCTCAGCATTTTTGGTTGAGAAACATTGTAATGAACATATATAGGCAAAATGACTATATAAAGTTTTGAAAACCTCTTTTGAGTCCAATTCTGTTCTCTCTGACAGACGAGATCTGACCCTCGCTGTTTTTTCTGGCAAAAGTTTGCCAGAAGCTATGCAGCCTTCTGTCAAGCACCCGAATCTTTCGAATGCGCGATATCTTTGGGGCAGTCAACCAATTGAGCTAAACGAAAGCACCTGGATGTTTATGCGCGGATTGGCACATCCACGTACGTCGCCGATCGAATCAGTGTGGTTGGAATAAGCGGGCGTAGCATGAACCTATAGGCATATTGACTAGTATCCATTTACATCTAATCGATTTATTGATTACCTGTTCTCTGGGCGTATTGCTTCCCAGCTGATTGAACTGCGAGCTGTACGTCCGATTTCCGTTAGGCAATCGTTGATCCTGTCCTGCCACTCGTTCATCGGATATATTCGAGACGTTACCTAAAAATGCTTGGTTCAATGGATCAGTCAGTTTACATATTGATTCATATTGATTGAGGCGTACAAACCTCGAATCTGTTCGTGGTAGCCGGTCTTACGCAAGCGAGCGGCAGCGTGCTAAATATCGAAGAAAGTTTACCTTGGTAGAAAAAATCAATATATCGATTATTTGTAACTAAGTGAGGGAATCGATATTTTGAGTTCGCACATTCCCTTACCTGTAATGTCGCACTGTCCACTGTTGGACGGATTTGCTTGGGCGGCGCTGTAAATCAGATGTTTCTCTATGAACAATAACAATCAATAAGTCGGTAATGCAAAATTACCAGATACGGTATTGTTGTCACGTCGTGGTGTCTGCGCTGCCTTCCACCCGCCTGATGGTAATAACGAGGACTGAAATAATTCCGAATAATTAACGAA